TTCATATTAACCTCTCTGTGCTTCAATTTCCTCCTTTGTTAAATGGGGCCAATAATAGTAATAATAACAATAACAATGCTGCTGCTGCTGTTCCCTCCTTCAAAGCATTGTGAGGATCAAATGAGTTACTACATGTAAATGCTTAGTAATGCGCCTGGTACATCCCTATTGCATAAGTGTTTGCTATTAGCATTCCTATTGCTGTCATTGTTATTATTTGTTACCTCCCTGAATTGAAAGTGAGCTCTGGCTCTAGACAGTGTCTGGTCCCTCTTTGTGTTCCCAGCATTCATCCCCTAGCATACAGAGGTGCCCAACACATGCTCATTAAGTCAAAGTTATATGGAGGCTCATAACAAGGTGCTCCAAGGAAGATCACTGCGGATATTTAGAGATGAACTGTCATTCCCAGCTGGTGGTAAAATGTTCAACAGGCTGAGGTTGCTCAAAAATAGACTGAGTGCTCAGGCAGGGACGTGTGGTAATGTGGGTCAATCAGCAGGACACCGAAGATTCCATGATACCCATCTCCTCCATTCCAAGGGGCCCTTGGCCAGGATAGTCGCTTGGCAAGGGACGGGGAGGGTTCACCCTGCTATACTTTTCAAATGGGAACCAAGCAAGGCTCCCTTTTCTCAGTGACAGCACTCCTGGGACCCTTCCTACTTAGCCACCCTGCCTTTTCCAGGACATGCAGGATGCCCTGGCAAGACTTGATGCAAATAGTGCTCAATTTCCTGGGCTAAAATTACATTTTCTTGAGTCAATTTTCATAAAATGCAGTGACAGATTTAGGTGCTGGGAAGATGGAGCTTTCTCAGAAGTCATTAAAATGACCCATACGGTTAAAATCAGCTGAAACCCAGCAGCCAGGGACCGAGAAAGCAGCTTTCATCCTTCAGTGGCCTTGTGCAAACCAGAGGTCAGGACCCTGCCTGGAGAAACTGCTGTGCCTGTGCCTGACTCCCTCTGGTCATGGGATGACTATCTCTCAGCCAAGATTCCACTAACAGAGAGATGTTTTGCAATGCACTAGCAGGTGGAGCCATGAGAATGTTCATGTTCCCTAGGAAAAGCAGTCTTCCATCCCAGGGGCAGTTTCATAGAAATGGACTTGGATTATTCTTTAAACTCTCCATTCCTGATACTTTCCTCTACGAGTCACACAAAAAAATCAGGCAAAGAAGTAGGGCCTTGATGTGTTTGAGGGCATCTTCCCTTCCGCAGAAATAGCTTGAAACCTGTGTCCCGGGGGTAGTCCATGAGACAGTGCTTTGCTACCATCACCCCTGAAGACTGGGCATGGTGCTGATGGACCCTTGTAAACAGGGTCAGTCTCCTGTCTGAGATGCTGAGTCTATGACCCCAGCAGTCCTCAGTCTGACAGTTGTGGGCTCCGTTGAGTTGCCTCTTCCTGTACCTTCCCAGCCTCACCCACTGAACCCCAGCCTCCCTCATCTGCTCGCTGTCTGTTCTGGATGGTCACTGTTTGCCTCTCTGGATCCACTCCTGGTCCTTCCCCACCTTACTCTGCCCGGAAGGCCAACAGTGTGGACTGGATCAACAGCCCTTTGCCCGGGTTCCTCCAGTAGGCTTCCACCAATGGGAGGTGAAGGCGGAGAGCAGAGAGTGAGAAGAGAGTGAAGTTGCCTGGGCTGACCACGTCCCTTCACTAAGGGCCCCTGCTCCTGCAGGGAAGCCCCTGTGGGGTTTCAGAAACCATGCCCTCCCCTTACCTCCTCAGGCCTGTAGTCTCACCATCACCGGTCCCCGTGATCCACCACCCATCATTGGCTTTCCCTGCACCCTGCCTACTCCTTTATAAATAACCCCTTATTATGTCCCTCAACTACCTAGGACCTGGACTGGCTTGCTCATTCCTGCCCACCTCCATCCCTTTGCTTTCACCACCATCTTTGCTGCTAGGCCCTGTGCCACGTCCCCCAGCTTTACTGAAACCCAGCTCAAATCAGCTCCTCCAGGTGTATGCTCCCATGGCACTGGGGTCCAGTGCCCTGATTCCAATACCTGAAGCCAGTCCTGCCCCTCCCTATAGAACAGGGAGGTTGAACCAGCTGATCTCTGAAGTTTCTTCCAACCCACATTCTCCTTTGCTCCCCATCGTGTGCCCCTTAGCCAAATGGCTTGTGTTTAGGTTCAAATTTCATTTAAAAATCCAATGAGCTACCAAGTGCTTCAGCCAAAATGACATCCTGGTTGTAACTTTCTCTCCTCTGAACTCCCATTCTACCCTCATCAACACCTCTCACCATGTCCTCTGTTAGCATTATTCATGCAAGAGAATCTCCCCTTTCAGGCTGCAAACTCCCTAGTTCCATCTTGTATTTTTGGTGAAACTCTTTTCTTTTGGCAAAGCTCCCTCCTCCACCCCCCTGCCCTGGCACCTCATAAATGTTTTACTGTTGCAAATATTGACTGAAACGGAGGAGTGACCCGTAAGACTCGAACACCCTGGAAGACACTGTACAATGATATTTACCAAATAATGACTCTGCAGCAGGCACATTACATCCATCATCTTGCTCTGCCCTCACCACAGGCCTACAAGGTAGGTGTTACCCCTGTATTACATGTGTGGAAACACAGAGGTGAGGAAACTGGCTCCAGAAAGGGCTGGAGCCAGGAGTGAAAGCTCAAGAGTATTTGCCTCCAAGGCCTCTCACCTTTCCTGTGCTCCACCCCACAGTGTGTGTAACAACAGATGCAACAACTAGGGACCCTGACCCAAATGCAGACATGTCTCATTACAGAATGTAATTAAGGGTTTGCAGAGCAGCGCCTTCCTGAAGAGACCCTTTAGATTTTCCTGAATGAATCACGAAGACATTAGCACATTCTTGCTCTCTGTGAAGCTGGGCCAAAAGGCCTCAAAAGTAATTAGCTCACTTAGGCTAACCATTTCCCTAGCAATCTGGTTTACGCTTCAATTGGCTTACAGCCTTAGAGAGGGCAAAAAGGTCAACTTTAGCCCAGCCCCTGTGGAAATATTTCCTATACCTTTTATGGATAAAATTCATCCCCTTCAGCAACTTGCTTCTGCCAAACCTGCGGGAGGGAGGAGCAGGGAGCAGGGCAGGTGATACTCTGGCCAGTCCAATGAGGAAGAGGAGGTTGGTTACTAAAGTCTCAATTACTGAAGCTATTCTGGCCATTCTTGTTCTCATCATGTCACCTGGGACCCCTGCCCTCTGGGGACTCTTGGCTTTGGTCACCTCATGCACCATTCCCCCTCCTTCCCTTTCTACAAGCCTTGGGGTCTAGACCTGTGTCCCTCTGCTCTTTGGAGCTGCCTCTGCCCCCTTAGCCATTGGGGCTTCCCTCTCTCAGTGGAGACCCCAAGCTGAGTCTCTATCCAGGGGCCCTGGGGCCTCCCTCCTAGCTCCAGGTGGACAAGGTCAAACCCCTACTTATCCCATTCTTGGGCCTCTTCTGGTCACCAGAAGAAGTGAGCTCAATTTGCACAGCTACAAAGGCCATGGGAAACCAGCTTTGGCTCTGAGTCCAGTAAATTCAGCCCTACCACTTCAACCATGGAAGATAACATTCTTTACCCCCCATCTTTAACCTCATCCTTGCTTGGTCAGATCCTCTTCTCTGAGAGTAAGGAGGTCTGCTCCTTCTGTTGTTCAGACAGGTGCCAGGGGCCACAAGGACCCTCCCCCTTGACCTAGTTCCCCCCTTTTATTCTCTGCACCTGAAAACCAGCTGGCATGGAAGGTCTGAGGGAGGGAGGAAGCGGAGACAAGAACAAGATAAAAGCTGCCACATCCTTGCCAGCCTCTGTGGCCTGGCTCCTTTTCCTAATCCATTAATTCTTTCAACAGCCATTTATGAACACCTACTGTGTGCTGGACACATTCCAGGTGCTCCAGATATAAGAGTTAATGAAATAGATGAAAATGGAGCTGACACATGGCAAACAAGATAAATAAGTAAACCAGAGTTTATGGTGAAAAGTGATAAGGAGGCAACATTCAGCAGAAAGGGCATATGTGTTGGAAAGGTGGAAATGTCAGATTGGGTAGCCAGGGGAGGCCTTGATAGGCTGATGTCTGAGTCAAGATCTGAGGGAATCGTGGAAGGGCCATGTGAATATCTGGGGAAAGAGCACTCTAGGAAAAAGGAACAGTAAGTGCAAAGGCCCTGAGGCAGGAGGAGGCAGCTATGAATGGAGTGCAGTGATGGAGGGGATGAGCAGTAGGAGATAAGGTCAGCCAGGTAAAGGAAGTCAGATTATGTAGGGCTACCAGGCCACCATTGTGCTTTGCAAGATGGGAGCTGCTGGAGAGCTCAGAGCAGAGGAGGAACAGAATTTGACTTGGGTTTTAATAAGATCCCTCTGGCTTCTGGGTTAGGAATAGACTGATGGTATTTAGGAGACCCACACCTACCCACTAAAAGTCCCTGTGATTCTTGAGAGTGAGCCCTTCAAGTCTGCCCTCTCCTTATACATCCTGTCACAAGGGGCAAAAGGCACATGGACTCAGGTAGGAACAATGGAATTGAGACAAGGATGGAAAAGTGGGTCGTCCCGGATTATGGCAGAGCTTGGAAGTCAGACTAAGAAACTGAAACTTGATTCAAGCAGAGGGGAGTCACTGAAGGTTTCTGAGCAGGAGAATCACCTAACTAAAGCTGTTAGTTAGCCACATTAGTCAAAATCCACAGGAAGGCTGCTGTGGCAGAGACGCGGTGCTAAACACTGTACACATGTCTCAGGCCATGATCTTGCTGGGCCTGGACTCCCTGTCTCCCCAAACAGACTAGGGCTCCCTGAGGACAGAAACTTTCCCTCTATCTTCAGTCTCTTCCTGCATTAGCAGGGACAAGACTCTCCCCTCTGCACACCGTACTATCCTTCACGGGGCTTAGGTGCTGCATTTGGAAACACATCAAGTGGGATGACTCCAGAGTTAGATGACAAGACAGACACCAGAGACAGGTTAGTGTTTCCAGGGTGGGAAAGAGGCTGTACGTACCTCCCGCCACTGCTTGTTCTCCATCCCTTGAGTATACATGACGCATACTGTGAGGAGAGGAGAAAAAGAGGGTTAGCTTCCTTAGCGAAGAGGAAGGTGTGGGCCCCAGACAGGAAGGTCCTGGGTTAGCAGTGTTGGGTCGGGGGAGATGGAGGGGTTGGCATAGAGAAGGGGACCTAGAACATGGGTATGTCTGGGAGGGGAATCCTCTGGGAGGAGGGTCAGGGGTTATTTGCATCTAGGCCAGAGTAAGTGTGAAGTGTGAGGCAGGAAGACAAGTGGGCATGACAGTGGACTGGGTGGCAGAGGTGTGGCAGGAGAGAGAATCTGAAACCTGCCTTGTCCCTTTAGAGCCCAAGGCAGCCTCATGAGGCCTATTATTACCATCAGCCCCACTTCACTGATGGGAAAACTGAGGCTCAGAGGAGGCAAATGACCTGTCTGTGGTCATACACTTGAGTGGCATTGCCTAGGGATAGAATCTTGGGTTCCAAAATCAGTGTTTGTCCCCCCAGACCACAGCCAGCTGGGGTTCTTAAATATATGGGTTTCCCTAGGACTAAGACCTTCTGGCCCCAGACACCCTGACGCCTCCCCGCCTGCTTGGTTGTGTTGAAGCTTCAAAAGTACAGGGTCTGGGAAGGATCAAACATACATACACTTCCCCAGCCCCGCCCCAGTTCTGTTTCTCCAGACAGTATCCATGAAATGTTGGACAACCTGGATGCAGTGGGAATGGTGCCTAGCACGTAGTGAGCACTCAGGACAGGCTCCAGTGTTGGCTGCTGCAGTAGTCATAACGCTGTTGTTACTATTATTACTGTCAGAGCAGGACTTACGTGGGTCAGACTTGGAGAACATATCTTTGTCCAAAAGGTTCCTGAAAGAGGGGGAGAGAGCAGGAGTTAGCGCAGCCCAAGGATCTCAGAGGATTCAGGCTGTTACTGAGACCAGGAGGATGCCTCGGGCCTGGCCTCCAGCAAAACAGGAAGCAGGAGGCTCTTTCAGCACAGTTATTAGGGATCATTAAAGCTGGGCAGGCCCCAGAGGTTCCTCCCTAGGATGTGTGGTGATCCCTACCTCCCTCCTCCACCATCACCACGCGCTCCTGCGCACCCCAGTGCCCTGGATCCTGCTGCCCCTTGTTCTCTGGCCAAAGCCACATCTGCCCAAAAGTTCTAGAAATTCTGTTCTAGAAATTCTCCTCCTACCATTTCTCTGTCTCTGAAAAAATACAATAAAATCAAGCCATCAAAACTTATCCATTCAATGTCCCTTTCTCTCAGGGCTCCACATACAGCCAGTTTATTCAATCATCTCATCTGTGCCGATGGATTAACGAATAACACCTCTCAGGGGATGCAGACTCATTTGAACAGGGTCTTTCTGTGGTCAAGACCAGAGCTAACACATGGCCCTAACAATCAGACTGGAGGTCAGGCAGCAAGATGATGGACACAACGTTTTGGGGCAGAGAGGTCTTTGAACAGGTGCTGAGCCCCTCCTGCCCTGCCTCTGTGCAATCACCACTCCCGCTCACTGAACCCCAGGCACTGTGCTAAGTGTTCTGCAAATATGAGCTCCCAATTCTCACCCCGCCCTGCAAGGTCAGTACTGGGTAGGCATCATCCCATCTAACAGATGTGGAAGTAGAGGCACAGGGAGATCAGATAAGAGCATGTCCTGCACATCTGGTGTCCCTCACTCTACAATGACCTACTGCTGTCAGGAAGCAACACATCCCAGTGGAAACTTAGTCTCTGGCTGGGAAGTGACTCAACCTTTCTGAGCCTGTTTCCTCATCTGTACAATAGAGACAATAGTGCCATCTTTAAGATTGTTGCTGCTCTACCCAATCTCCTCAGCCCTCCTAGTTCCTGTACATACCCATGGTTTCCTCCTGCTTCTCTCCCAAGGGATTTCTCTGGCGGACAGGGCTGCAAATACCAGGAAGTTTATGTTACCCAGGGCAGCCCTCAACCAATGATGGGTGAGAACTGGGGGATAAATACACAGCTCTGTCACTCCCCCACCAAGGACAGCTCTGAGGTGTGCTTCACACAGCCTCCCCGAGGTGCCCACCAGGAGACTGCTCATTAAAGACCCTTGTTGACTCGGGCAAGGACTTCATTGCTGAAGGGCTTCCTGTGAGTCCTCCCACCTGTTGGAGTTACTGACTCCTTCCTACACTGCCCTAAAGTCAGTCTCTGCCCTTGCCAGCCATCTCAGCCATGTCTGATCTCCTTCCCGGATGTTCCCAGGGGTTTTCTCAACTACCCCCTCCACTCCCATGCTCCCCCTTAAGCCTCTGTGCTCCTTGCACCCTTTCCCCAGAGAAGAGAAACAATCAATACCAGGTTGTGTGGCTTCCTGTCAGCCAACTCCAAATGTCAGAGCTGGATGGGACCCTCAGGATCATCTGTTCTACCTTCTCCTTGAGAGGGGCGGAGACTGAGGCCCAGGGAGGGGCAGGGAGTGGTCATGCCCCACAGCAAGCAGTGGCAGAGCCAGAAAGGTCTAGAAGGAGACCTCCCCTGAGTCATCATCATCAAAGCCATCAGCAGTGATAGCCTGTCTGGACAACTTGACCCGCAGTCAACCCCACCACCCATGCCCTCACTCTGAGGTAAGAGCCAAAGACCAACCAATAGATAGACAGACAGATGCAGCAGCAGACTGGTGCAAGCATATAGCATCCTCTGCTGCCTGAGGAGGCCCCACATCGTGTTCATAAATCATCCCAGCTCCAGTCCCCAAGCAGATTCCCAGACATGTCCCCAAGAGAGGGATCCCCAAGTCCCCATCCTCTGCTCCAGTCTCTCCATTCAGGGGCCTTTCTCCAAAGGCAGCTATCCCTCCATGACCCCAAAACACAGAACCCCTCTGCTGGTCCCCATCACTCTTCTACCAGACCTACTCCCAGTGGTTGTACTTTGGAAACCATCTGATAAACCTCCCAGCCCACTGAGTGAGCATCAGATGAAATGATACCCAAGCAGCTCTGAAAAGTAGGCAACAGGAGCTACAGGTAAGATACCACTTTTATATATGCTCATCCACACTGAGGTGGCCTGACCTTTACATGGGTTGACCTCCTCCTCCTGCCATGTGCTAGGATTCAGGGCAGGAGCATCTCCCTTGACTTAAACAAAGGAGAAAAATGCTTAAATTCCAAAGATGACTCTACAGTGGGGGAACATAAGGCATGGTTGGGGATGGGAGTGGGGAGTGGGTGTGGTAGGGGGACTCTTCTACTAAAGCAAGTGCTGAGGTTGATTTTTGAATTCTATAGCGAAAGTCTATAATTATATAAAGTCCTAGAATGTTCAAGTTGGAAGGGTCTTCAGAGGTCACCTTTTCTAATTCCTTTATAAATTAGGAATGTGAGACTTGGAGAGAAGTCAATTGACTGCTCCAAGGTCTGCGTCTCCTCAGGTTTAGATCTGGAGCTCAGGTTTAGTCATGTCTAGGCTAGCAAGAAAGTGAAACCCTGGATTTCAGCTAGATGTCTGTATGTGTGCGTGTGCGTGTGTCTGTGTGTGTGTGTGCGTCTGTGTGCATGAAAGAGAGAGAAAGTGATTGAAAGAGAGAGCAGGAGACAAGATATGAGGTCTTACCTTCAAAGAGAAGCAGATCAGGCCAACCTGAGCAAGAGGCACACAGCTGAACTAAGAAATAGAACCTACCTAGCTTTGGTGGCTCCCTGCCCAGTGACCTTGAGACTCTCACTGAGCCCTCTGCTGAGATTATCCTTACAGAACCATTCCTATTAGTTCTCCTCAATTTTGCCTTCCCTGGACAGACACTGACTAACAACCATTTCCCCCTGCCTCCCTTGAGCTCTCTCTGGCCCATACCGTGCAATCCTCTGACTTGTAGGACCCATTACTATACTCAGCACACCAAGGACTGCAAAACTTAGGGGTGCCTCTATCTCTCACATGGGGCAGGGGCCTCAACTCTGCTCCAAGACAGACCAGCACCTGACTCAGAGCAGGGCCCTGGAAAACTGGATGGATGAAGGGAAACCAAAAGGAATGGCCAGATGGGTGAACGAGGCTCTGGTTTCCTGACCTGGTCATGCTCAGGGCCAGACCCTATACTTCCTCTTAGCTGTAGAGCCTAATGTTTAAACGTCTGGGATGCAGTCAGACAAGCTGGGTTCACATCCCAGTTCTGGACAAGTTATGTAACTTCCTTGTGCCTCAGTTTCCCCATCTGTAAAATGGGGTTAAAAATAGTTCTTCCCTTAGGGCTGCTGTGGAGCACTTAGACATAGTGAGGCTCATCAGACAGGTCAGTCATCATCAACATGGTGCTGAGCAGAACAGTCACTCTCTTGGAGAATGCTCAGACTCACTTGGTGATAAAGGAGAGACAGGATGGGTAACACAAGCCACCTCTACACTTACAGATCCAAGGAAGCCCACCCCATCACATACATTCCCAGTGCCCCGTTGTAAAGTGTACATTGAATTCTCCACTGACTGAGGACAGCCTCCCTCACCCCCATCTCAGGCTCCTCCTTGGCTTCCCTTCCTTGAGGATCCTCTGCTCCTTTGCCTGGGTCCTTGCACCTTATACCCACCTCTGATCCCTCATTCATCCACACTTACCCCTATCCATGTCTCACCCTAACTGCTTGTCCTGACAGAAGCCTTAGGGTCGCTGAATGTGCTCTCTTGGCCTAGAGATGGTGGCTTCACCCCATAAGCAATGGGTCTCTCACTTTCTGGGCCTTGCTCCTGCCCCTAGTTATAAAAAGGCAGACTTGGGCCCCATTCCCTGAGTCTGGTTTTATAAATCTGGTCAGGGCCCTGGAAGCCGTGTTTTGAAAAACTTAACCACCCAAGCTCCCCTATACACACTGGGTTTATTTGTTTGTTTGTTTTAAATGGAGGTACTGGGTATTGAACCCAGGACCTCATGCATGCTAAGCATGTGCTCTACCACTGAGCTGTACCCACCCTCCCAACGTTGTGTTTTTGATGGCAACAGTCCAAACACCACATGTTGGAACATTGGGTCTTAGGGCCTCAGTTTCCTGCACTGCTAAGATACATGTATGTACAGCACTTGAAAGCTCTTATATGACCCTTACTCTGATCCAGTGAGAACTCCAAAGCTCAGAGATGGAAATGACTTGCCCACAGGCACACAGCCAGTAAGAAGCCAAAGGGTAGAAAACCAGGTCTTCCACATCAAAGGAGGGCCCAAATTGCAAGGACACAGAGAGATCAGACCATAGGTGCTTTTCTCCACTTTTGAGTCTTTGGAGAACTCAAAGAGAAATTTTTCCCAACAGGCAAAATGTATTTTTTCCCTAAAAGAGCATAAAATCCTTCAGCATTCCATGCAGCAGCCTGGAGCTTGGCTTCTTTTGTCCCCTAAATCAAGGCCAGGGAAGCAGAGCCAAATACTTCTTTCCTCCCCACACTCCCTAAGGAATCATTTCCAAATCAGTGGCAGCAATAATGATCATGCAATGGGCAGTGAGGTCAAAAGGCCCAGCAAGGCAGAAAGCACTGGAAAGGCCAAAATGAGAAATGCCTGGTGATAAAGAAGTGGGCCTAGGGTAATACCTTCCCACTGAGAGGCTTAAAAGAGTCAAGGTAGAAGCTGGGGGCATCATCCAGTCAGAGAGAGGAAACAAAGCCATGATCTCAGGGCGTCCCATTCTGAGAGGGAGACACAAGTCTGCCCTCAGGGAGCTATGGTCTGAAAAGGAGACCCAGCCTCACCCCTACCCCAGCCCACCCCAGATAGCGTGAATCTGATGTAAAGACAGTGCTACCTTACAGGGCCCCAGTCTGAGGGGAGACACAGCCACTGTCTGGGAGCCTGAATCTGAGAGAGAAAACACTGAGAGGTGAGGCACAG